TTGCTTTTTTTTTTTTTTTTTGTTTTAATGAGCAGGCTGGCTCATGCCCAGGAGCAGGAAATGCAATGCTCTTTCCAGCATTGCTACAGGCCCGCATCCACACAAACACCCAGTCCCTCTCTGAAACCGAAAGCCGTGGTCCGCCGGACGGCTGGCCAGCCGGGCACGGCGCGAGAAGGCATTTCCTTCCATCCTCAAGGAATCTGCTGCTCCCAGATGTTCCTGCACTCCCCCTCCTCTTCCCACGACTCCTGACCTCTTGTTTGCTGCTTCTCCCCTGTGGCACAGCCGCTTTCGGAGGCGGCAGGGACCCAGGAGAGCCACCGAGATGATGTCCCAGTGCTCCAGCCCCCTCACCCGCTCCAGGGACAGGCCACGTCCGCATGGGCGTGAGTCACATCATGCGTACATGAGCCATGAGCTTAATTCCGAGCCTGGCGGCAGCAGGGAAATATTAATGCTGAGAAGGTTTAGCAAGGTAATGGAGCACCAGCACGGGTCTGGCAGAGGGCTGCTGGCGAAGGACAGACCCAGCGGAGGAGTAAATATCTCCCAGGAAAAGAAAAACTAACTCATGTGGTTCATTAACGCTCACCACAACCCCTGCAACTGTTTAAACCTACCTAGTCCTGGCTAGCGGTGATGGATGCAAGTAGGAGCGAGGAGCAGACAGAAAGGGCAGCAGGTTCAAATTGCTCAACAAGTATTCCACTTCCAAATGTGATTTCCTACCTTATAAAGCCCCAAATTTCTTCTGAAGGGTCGAGGAGGGAGCCCAAGGAGCTCAGCCCCTCACCTCAACATGGCAGGGGGACTCGGACCTTGCTTCCCCCACCCCCCAGCTGCTCTGGGGAAGCCCAGACAGGCACAGAGACAGGAGAGGAAAGGGAGACCGGTGAAATGCCACGAGCTAAGCCTGGGTGGCCCTGGCACGACAGCCATCCCCCGCCGTGGACTTACGCTGTCCCATCTGGGCCTCGGGCACCCGCTCGCGGATCATCCGGCAGGCGTCGTACACCATGGTGGAGGGCTCGAACTGCATCGTCTTCACCACATTGCCGATGCTGATCTTCAGCGAGAGGGCGACCATGGTGGCGGCTGGGCTGTCCCCACTCCTGCGTCACCTGCTGGAGGAGACAGACGGGTTACCTCTGGCTGCTGGCCCCTCCGGTGCGCACGGTCCTTCCTCTGGCAGCACCTCTGCTCCCCAAAACCCAGAACCCAGCTGCTACCGGCAAGGAAGGGCTGCGCCCCACGTCGACGAGCCCACGAGCGGGTCCCGTTTTCCGGCTCCTTGCTGACCTCGGGGGTCTCCAGCCAGGGGTGTGACCCTCGCCTCCTTGTCCCGAGGTCCCAGATCCAATTCTGCTCGCCTGAGGGAGTGACGGCAGCTGGCACCCGGCAGATATGCTGCCAGCGAGGAGGAAGCACGCAGGCAGGAGCACGCGAGATAAGCCAGGAGAGCACAACAGAAGGGGTTATAATTAAACCTGCTGTGACACACAAGGCACAAAGAGGAAAACCAAGGTTTGACCCAGAGCTGGCAGGGCCCTGCTCCAGCTATCGCGGCCCCCCACGTCGCCAGCAGACGGTGCTGAGCCAGCAGCCTGAGCACAGACGGACCCGGAGGGACGGAAAAGCCCGGAGCTGCCCAGGGAGGCGAGATAAGGGCACCAGGCACCGAACCCACCCGTTAAAAAGAATTACCCGGGGAAAGCACCACTCACGCCAGGTGAGTGCTCAGAGGTCGGGGTCTGCGGCAGCAGCTGCTGCACAAACCCAGGGCCGGGGAAGCCCCCGCACAGGCTGACGTGCAGGAGGGCAAGAGACCCGCCCCTGCGGGGCTCACTGCACGGGCACGCGAGGACCGCACCACGCCGTCTGAAACTGGCCCCAAGCCGGGTCCAGCCTGGAGGATCGGCTTCCAGCTTGAAGGATTGCGTATATCAGCTTCAGAGCAACTGCTTATCCACAGGGCTCCAACACACCAGCTTTAATTATACTGAATTAAAACAACGATGTTCTTATGGTGGAGCAAATTCGGAAACAAACAACAAAAGTAAAATGAGCTTTCAAATAAGCCCCCTGCTTGCCTGATGCGGCTTGTATGGCTTGCAGAGCCCATTCCTTTGGGCTTATCCACTGTGCAGCAGCTTTCAGCTCTTTCCCAGACTGCTGTGCCTCTTGGGGTCCCTGTGCTGGGTCCTTCTCCCTGCCCTTTCAGCACCCTCGGTCCCCAGCTGGCCCCAGCCCGGCACTCTCCAGCAGCGACACCCCTTCTCCTGTCCCCCAGAGCGTGCTCCTGGAGAAGGGACTCCCCTGCTCTGCCTCTACTCAGGCTCCCTTGTCCTTAAACCCCAGCTGGTGGGAGGATGCAAGAGCACAGGCGGGATGCACCATATCTGCTTGTTCTCTCTTAGATTGATTTTCTCCCACCAGGCCTCCTATTATGGCGAAAATGCAAACGTCTGCAGATAGCTCGCAGGCAGAAAGAGCTAGCCTGGAATGGCCACGTGCATCCTCAGCCCGGTCCAGAAAGGTTCTTGGACAAGGCTTGCTGGCAGCTTCCCCTGCCTGCTGTCCACCGCAGCGGCACGCAGCGAGCCTGCGCATCCCCCCAGCTCCAATCCCCTGCGAAAGGGCGTACATGGTGCAGGCTGCTCCCAACCACGGACCCAAGCAGGCTAGGGGCAGGACCTGTGATGGACAAAGGTCTCCTGCATCCGATTTTGACCAGGAGCAAGCTGGAGGGCAGGGGTCCTGCTCCCGCAGAGCCATGCTGGCGGTGCGGGGAGAGAGGCAGGGACGGAGGAGCGTGCCGCCTCCGCCAGCACATGGAGCGGCTCCAGCTCCGCATTCCTGAGCCGTTCGGCAATGTTTCTGCGGAGGGCCCCCACGGGCTCCGCTGACGAGGAATGAAATGCATTTCGGGTCCGGAGCGAGGGAGCCCGGCGGCAGTGGGAAGCAGGCAGCAGAGCCCCCAGCCTGTGCCTTTGCCATCCACCCAGAACCCCTCGCCACGCTGCGGAGCCGAAGGGATGAGGAACACTCTGCTGCTGAAAGGGCTTTCCGAGCATTTCATACGCAAGGCGGGCTGCTGTGGTCACCAGGCCATCTTCTCTACATCTAAAAATATTCTCGAGCTGAGCATAAAGCTGCTTTCCGTCCCTCGGCAGGAAAAGGAGAACATGCCACTGCCAGGACAAGGTCAGAGACCACGGAGGAAGGGGAGGGGAGGACGCCGGACGGCAGAGAGGAACCGAGAGGAGCCAGGCCATGCCCAGGCATTTCTGCCGCCTCCTCTTGCTCTCCCAAAGCCACCCAGAACCAGGCGCTGAGGTGGAGGCATCCCTCGGCACACCTCTCACTGCGGCCACCGCGCTTTCCAAGACCTCGCAGGAGGGTGACTGCTCACGCCTTCCTACTGCCAAGCTCCTACAAAAATAACAGAGCTCATCAAGGAAGGTGATCGCAACATCAAGCAGTCCCTCGGAAGAAAAGGAGATGCTTCATTTTAATTCGCGTGTTCTACGGAAACAGTTCAGGCTCCAGCAGCTGAATTTTGCTGACATCAATGTCTAAAGCAGAAATGCTCCCTGCTTCGTAAGAAATACACCTCATCAAACCCTGGAGCGATGCGTCAGCGAACGTGGCAATTACTCACACAGGGTCTGCAAATCTGCCGCTTCCTGAGAGGGCACCAACGCCGGCCTTGGCCCCCGCCAGCCTCTCCCCACCGGGTATCATGGGGGGAAGGGAAAAACAGACTAGACATAGTGGGTGAGACAGCGTGGGAGACGGGTGCTGCAAACCAGAAAAATAAAGGAAAAGGACGGCAAAATTCAAGCTGTCCCTCTGGAAAGAAAAAAAAAAAATAAAACCCCAAACAAACCAAGTCCTGATGAGCACACACTGAATTTCTGCGCTGGCTCGCCTCCAGAGCAAGCAAACCCGTTCTCAATCGGTTTGCAAAGGCAGATAAGGCACCGGAGCAGCGAGCCGGCCAGGCGGCAGCCAGATTAACACACTTCTGCATTTTATAGCTGCTTGTAACCCTCCGAGCCGCCGGCACGCTCCTGACCCGATCGCAAAATGAAAGCAGGGGAGGGTGGGGGGGTTCTTGAC